CTTTATAGCTTAACATGAAATACCTTTTTGCTTTTACATATTTTCCCTTTTATTCTATTATTTACATGAAAATATGTACATAGTAAATTTATTCCTTTTTTATATACTGTTATATGTATTAGTTATTTTCTTTCCCTTTAATAAACAATCATTTAATAAATCAAAATTTTTCCCCTGAAAAAATAAACTTCATGATCAGAATATCATCCTAAAGAAGCTTTTGACACGTTTTTTTTTGTAAGTGACGGCAAAACGAGTCATTGACAACGAGAGTCCAAATTGTGATTTTAATAAAATAAGTTCTTTATCGAGAAAAAATTACGTAAATTTTTTTTTTTTTTTTGATTTCGCTTTTTCTGCCAAGTTTTGAATTAATTCAGAGTCATCGCTATCCTTAACGAAACCTCCCATTAACTGTCCGAATCAAAGATAAAACAATTTATTGAAATCATTTGATTCAGTTGGTAAAAAAAAATGACACACCTTAACGTTTGCAAATCCCGAATGATTCATTTACTTTTTAAAGGAAATTCTGAATACAGAATGATAAATTACTTAAAGAATATATATATATATAAATTGCTTTCAATTACTTTAATAAATTTTACGGGAAAGGAAAGGCAAATACATTGCGCTATCGTTTATAATGAAAAAACCTGTAGAAAATTACTACAATGAATGACTTGTTGATTAAACTATTACATTTTTTTGGTCGCGCGTGTAACGAAATAAAATAAAAATAAAAGAAAAGAACATGACAGATTTATAAGCGTAATGTTATGGTAGATATATTTTATTCATTTTAAAAAAGTATAGAAAGATCGAGAAAACTTAAAGCAGATCGCAGGTATAAATACTGAATTAAGAACTATTCGAACGCCGTATTATCTCATTTACTGAGAAATTAAATCAATTTTATTTTCTTATCATTTTTTGAGATACAATTTATTAAATATTAGAAAAAATTATAGCTATTAAAGTTTAAATATGATTCTTTAAAATTTGAAATACTTCATAATTTCCAATGAAAAATTTTTCTGTATCTCTTATCTGCTGTGAACATAATCAGATTTTTTTTATTATATCTGTCGCTCTGTAAGATCTCTACAAAATGATTCTCATAATAACATCCGCTTTTTAAATGTTATTCACATAGCTTAAAATTAAATCCTTATTCTTAAAATATGAAGATATCCATTGTTCGACCATGTTCAAATCTGGATGATCTTCTCCATTACATTTTTCCTGTTTCTCTTACTTTAAGAGAGTAAATAAAGATTATGAAAACGATGTTTAAATTAACAATTGGTATATCAATTATTCTATCAATCTTTCTATATCTAGGAAGTAAAATACCATTCCTTTCAGCATATTTCACAGAATTTGCTCTACATACACTCGCAATCTCCCTTTCTAACCTTTAAACCAGCTGACAAGAAAGAACCTCTAGATAAATCATGAGGATCAATGAAGGCAAAAATTTTTATTTAATTCTGGATCGAGAACTTCAAGCAAAGCAACAGATGGTTCTCCATGTTTAATTGGATTAACTTTATTAAAGAATAAATATTTAATTAAACAAGTCATTTATAAATCTGAATGAATCTGACTATCACGTTCATTGAGATACTTTACGAATATTTAACATATAAATATTGTACTTTATTGAGCAGTCAAGTTAAAATGTTGTTGTTCTGGTGGAATGAAACATGATAATAATTACATAATTTGTTAATTATTAAATAATAAATTTAATTCAATCCCCCGTTTAATCCGGCCTTATTACTAATTAAATAAATTGATATGAATAGTTAAAACAAAAAATTACATAAGCCAAAATACTCCACCAATCATCCAACTAAATTAATTAACCGATAACAATTTTTTTTTTATTTATTAATAACAAAGAAAATTTTTTTAAAAATATTATCATACATAATTTCAAAGTTAAATTTTACAGTTACTATGAGCAATGCATTTGATTGGTACGTAATCCAATTATCGTTGAACTGAAGTAATCTCGATAACCCGTGAAGTTACTATAAATAATATTACCAAATAAAATGTAAAACGTGAAATATGCAAACAAATGCAAATGCATTAGTCTCATTATTACTATCATGAATCGTCAAAATTTACAAATATCTTGTGAAAAAAAAAAACCGAGTTTTGCCGTAAAAATTTAATCTGATCAGGTAAATCATAAGGAAACTGTGATTTGCAAATTGGTAATATGAAGCGCAGTTTCAATTTAAATGTCTATTTATACCATTTTAAAAAAAAAAAAACTATAAAATTTTTTTTATTCTTTTACTTACTGATAAACAATGCCTTCATAAAATTTACGATGACAACTGGATAACGGTCTCATGTTTGGTCATAGGAGCTTACGTTTTACGATATAATTATAATTATTTTACGCGTAAAAATCCTCTTTCTGGACCAATTCCGTTCCCTTTTGTTTGAAACTTGTTACTATTCGGTCTAGATATTTCCAAGGTGGCAAGGCATTTGGATTTAAAATATGGAAAAATATCTGAAGCATACTTTTGGTTCGCATCGATCCATTTTTGTATCAAGATTAGATTGTGTGGAAAAATCTGTTCTCCTAGTACATCCATCAAGGATAATAGTTTTATGAAAAGGATACCACCAAATGAAGGATTTTATGAAATAGGTTTGGAAAGAAATGGTGTGGTGTTTAATAGAGATTTAAAAGATTGGAGTTTAATCGTAGAATGCTTACTCAAACCTTGATATCTACCGGATTTTAAGGGGCATCATTCATTGGTTGAAAAGAATTGTGATAAGTTATTTCAATATTGGGATTTATTTAGTGTCTCCGCAAATGATAATCGTACCGTGATTGAATTACCAAAATGGATAAAATTATGATTTAATCATTGAAACCGTCCTGAGTAAAAAAAGTTATGCGAAAGCAAATTATTTTAATCGTATATCTGACAACAAAAAAAACTTGACATTCCTAAAAATCTTCTAAAGCAATCCGGTGAACTCATAAATATATGGCGTTGAGTAAGAGCATTTTGTTAAATTCTGGGAATGAGGAGCGAGATACAGTATGTAACTAAAGGAGATTATATAGCACAGGTATCAGAGTTTTCGGGCTGATCTGAACCTGGCCTCGTTGAGGTGCAGCGTTGTTCTGTCGTTCAGGGCTTCTGTGGATAAAATTATCCAAAATTTCAAATTAATTTTTTATAACTAAAAATGTAGGTTCTTGACCAGAGAGAATGATTGGACAAGAGATCTAATAAGCGAACCCACTGATATCTAATTACAATAAAAAAATTGCGAACTATTGTTGCTGGAAGTGGTTTCATTCCGTTCCGCTACATCAGTACCATAGTAAACATTCTTAAGCTTTAACCAAATTACAATACAAGGTTCTTCAAGATTATCCGAAAATTATTATACCGTCTAGTGTCATCTCCTAATTTCGTAGGGAGATAAGTAATTTATAATTCATCTAGGGTTGAATATTAGATTGAAAGTTGTTGGGCTTGTATAGAGTCAATATAGGCATATTAACTCTTTGATATAATTCTTGAATATCAGAGGTGTATTGATTTACCATTTCATTATTCCAACTCAATAGATCACATATTCCGTCGGTATTGTGGATTTTACAAATTCTTCGAGTTTGAAAAGTCAAATTTAAATCAGCAAATAACAAATAACTTCTAGATTCGGTCAGCAAGAGAAACAATTGGTTTTATCAAAATTAGTAATTATAACAATAAGTAAATCATTCACAAATCCTTGACCTATCTTAGAGGTTAGGTTAAAAAATTAATACTTTCTTCACATTCTACAATAAATCACATTACCTTCATTAGATTCATTAATATTCACAATATTCATATTAATATTGATTTTCAATTCTTTTGTAACATAATCTAATAAATACAGAATAGTTTTAATATACCAAGAGCGATTATATATTTTTTCGTTATTTTTTTTTGTCATTGATTGATATTTCTAATATATCGTGTAGAAATAAATAATTTAAATACCATTATCAGATAATCTACTTTTATTATTACTTTTATCATCAATTAATTTATTTTTAATCTTTTATCTTTTATTTTCAAAAAAATTTAATAATTAATAAAATTTAAAAGTTAAAAAATGATCATTCATATGAATATGTACAGTACCATTGGAGGATATAATATTCCTTTGATAAACAATAAATGGATCTAAACGATATAACAAAATCATTAAATATTTTAGTTTCAATAAAAAAGTAAAATAAAAATAATCACCAAATTCTGTAACAGATTTACTTCTTGAGAGTATCGTAGATCTACTTAATGGTCTACTTTTATATATACTGCTCCTGAATGATTCATGGCTATAGGTCCAATATCTGATGATAATACGATTTTTGTTGCATTTTCACTAATTAATTCAATATAATACATATTAAAAACTTTAACTTTAAATCATCAGCTTTTGGCCTTTTGTTTGGATTAGAATTCCAACAGTTTTTCATTAATTCGATATAACCCTCAGGTGCGTTTATAACATTTGGAGGACGTATATCATCACATATTCTAAAAATAAGTTCTGTTCATAATATTGATCCCAAAAAGACCTTCTACCCGTCATTAACTCCCACATAATCATGCCAAAACTATAAATGTCTGAGGCCGTAGTATAATTTTGTCCTTGAAAGATCTCTGGGGCAATAAAAGGAATAATGCCATAAATTTTATCATCATCATTATTGTCATCATCTGATAATTCATTCAATGATTGTCTAATTCCTAAATCACATATTAGAACTTTACAATATCCATAACAAAGGATATTCCCACTATGAAATCCCGATGTATTCTTTCTTTATCATGAATATATCCAAGACTTTTAATAATTTGACACAATGAATCTAACTTTTCCCACCATTTAAGATCATAAAAATGTTCTGTTAGATAACGTCTTAAATCACCTGATTTGCAATATTTCATGATTATCACATAATCTTTGGAAACCTGAGTTGAATTAAGGAGTTGGGTAAATTTGTTAGGATAGTTATTAGAGTATTAGAACAATCAATTTCCGTTAAGGAATTGGGTAAATTTTGTAGGATAGTTATTAGAGTATTAAAACAATATAGTTTCGTTAAGGAGTTGGGTAAATTTGGTAGGATAGTTATTGGAGCAATCAAGTTCCGTTATGGAGTTAGGTATATTTGGTAGGCTATTTATTTTAGTGTTATAACACTTGAGTATTTTCAAGAAGTTAGGTAAATTTGGTAAGCTATTTATTTGAGATTGATGGCAATAGAGTTTTGCTAATTTTCGATATCTTTGCAATCCGCCTAAGGCATTTAATATGTCATCCATATTAAGTTCAGTAATTTCTAAACTAACAATAGTATCATCGTAAATAATGACTGATTCTTCATTATTCAATTCTAATTCTCCTGCATTCATCTGATTAAAATTTTGAATCTTTCGAGATGATTCTCCATGAAATGAATTGTTAATACTTGAAGAAGCATTAACGCCATTCAAGTAAAGTTGTTGCTCAGATAATCGAATATTGATTCATCATTTTTCATTTGAACACAATCAATTATATTTGTTTTTGTAATAGTTGCATTTAATTTCTCAACCACTTTGTTCATGGGCGGTCGATTTTTTGGTTCACTCTAAAATAATATAAAAAATTTATTTGAACGAAAAGTAATTGATATTTATTAATTTAAGAAAAAATATATATACCAGTATAAATGTTTACATAATCTTCAGATGTACCAGGAACGATACTTTCTCTAAGTCCTTGTGAAATTTCTATGGATAAACCAATGTCATCAACTTCATCTTTAACAAGAAAAGGAGGATAACCACTTGATAGCTCCCACAAAAGCACGCCAACGCTGTAAACGTCACTCTTTTCGTTTAGTACATATTTTTGCGATGTATCGTCATTTTTTCTTTCTCTAATAAAACTTTTAGGGTCAATATAAGGAATAAACTAAAATCTTCTGACTGATTAGTTGCTGCTTCATTCTTTTTGATATACCAAGTCTGCTAGTTTAATAACGCCTTGATGGATTAATATATTGCCGGAATGCTATCAATATAAAAAAAATTATTATAAATTACTAAAAAGAAATGTTCATAATAAATAAAATTAATCATAAGGTTACCAAATCACGATGTACAATTCCTTGGTCATGCAAACACGATACTGCACAAGCCAGCTGGATTGCCAATTTGTATTTATCTCCCCAAGAAAGCGTATCAAATTTATTCTTCAAATAGTTTTTAAGCGTACTGTCATCTGCATATTCCATTACTAACCAATAATTTTTCAATTCATTTCGATTTCTTTTTTTTTTTTTAAAAAAAAAAAAAATAATAAATATATTTGAGTTAAAAATACAATATATAAAGTCAATATAAAATTATAGATAATCTCATTGATTAAGAATTTTACCTTGGTTTGATGTAATCGCCAAAAAGCGGATAATATTGAAAATCAACTTCACGTTGATGTTCAAACTAAATTATTTGAGTATAAATATTTAGCTGATATATAAATGATTTTATACCAAACTGAAAAACTTATTGCATATTAATTACCTATTGTTCGAGTTCTTTAACAATGGCATTGTTAAAGTTATTAAATGATTTTAACGCGAGAGGTTGTTTTGAATATTTCCAATATGCACGATAGACTTTTCCTAAACTACCTGTACCTATCTTTTGAAAATCATAAAAATGTTTGTATTCATAAAATTTGATATTTTTGCTTAATAAATATTCCTCAATCAAATTAATCGTCTCATTTGAATTATTGTCAATTTAATTTTGCTTTATTTTGTAATGAGAAAAGGTGAAAAATATGGAGAGATCATGAATTAAATGTATTTCGATGAACAAGTGTTGCATTTTACATGCTTAATAAATTGATTGTTGTTTGAACAAAACCAAACAAAAAATAAAGGCTATTTCTAACAAAGAACAAAGGAATGAACCAAACGTCCTGCAGGAGTAAATGACACAAAAACGAATAAATAGCTTAGCGTTAACATCAGAATGAAAAAGTTACGCAATTTATATTTTTTACGTCATAATTTCAATTAATGCATTTTCTTTTAGAAAATAATATAAAAGGATAAATAATTAAATAAAAAGGAAACACTTCATATAATCCTATATATGGTCAATTCATTTATTATCATTTCGATGACATAATGCAAGGACATGCAGGAATTAATTAGTTATTATCACTTTGTTTTTGCAACATAATTAAGTTCTATTTTCAATTTTACATTTAGAATTGATTAATTTAATTAGTTTAATGGCTCGAATTACTATTGTAAATCAAGCCGGCCGGCTTGATTTATAGTAGTAACTCGAGCCCGGCGACCTTCGGTCGCCAAAATTATTTACAGATCGTTAAGGTAAATCCTAATCTTACGCTGCATCAAGAGATTTCTACATTTTCATATTACCCATACTAAGTTTAACTAAGTAACTGAATACTAAAACAACAGAATTTGTTTAGTAAAAGGACCTGCAAGTTTTTGATTTAAGTCATGCTTAATTTATTTTCTTGAATAATTACAGAACTATGTAATTTGATGATCTGCTGATCTACTATATACTTATAGATTATGTAATCCCCCCGTGATATAAAGGGTGTTACATATAAATTTTTCCAAAAAGAATCAACGATTAATAATTTCAATGCACCACTAAAGAAATAATGTATTTTTAGTTATTTAAAATTTTTCAATAAAAGATAAAAATAAATGAAAAAGTCTTTCGCTATGACAAACAATTTCTTGAAAAGTATCGTTTCTAATAGTAAAATGAAAATCTTGACTACGTAAAAATTCTTGCTTAACATTTTTGATATTAATAATATCACCCAATTTCAAATATCCTTGATAATTTTTTAATTTATTATTGCTAAAATTCCATTTGCTTTGTGTGTTTACAGTTACTAAAATAAAATAATAACAGCTTAAAGTATTCTTAAAAATAATATATATTGAAATGACAAAATAGTGGCTACCTACTTCCTGTGTACTTAGTTACTGGAGATCTAATATCACCATAAATTCCAAGGAATTCATTAGAATTTCTGTGTTGTAAATGTATACTAGTATCGGTGTATGAAGCTATTTCTTTATCGCTGGTAAATGTGATATTCCATAAAGCATCCGAATTAAGAAAATTGTTCACAAAAACCTAAATTCATTATATTTAAGAAAAATAATCATTTATAAAGGTTATTTAAAAAAAAAAAAAAAAATACCACTTAAAGCCCACTCATAACCGAATAACGTAAAGATTTAATTGAACTTAGATATTTTCCTGTAGCAACGTGTTTTAAGGTAACAATGCTACAATTAATTCCTTTATTGAATTGATTTTGTTTTTTCTCTTAAAAAATTCAGTTAAAAAATATTCTTTTGGAAGTGATTGAATTAAATATTTTTTTTTGTTCCTCAATAACGTTAATTTCAGCATTATAACATAATTTGCAAAATTTCGAAATAAATGTTGAAGTTTCGCCACCTTCTCTTTCAGTAATATATTTTAATAACTGCAATTTTCTTTTATTTGTATTTTTGAATACTGTAAAGGAAAGGTGTTCCTTAAGTGCACTACGAAGTTTTTCAAAACTATCAATCCCAGTTGGAAGTTTGATAATAAGGTCTACTAATGGTATAACATATGACAAATAAAGTTTTCCTTTACGATATAAATAATTTTGAACATCATTTATCCATTCATCTGGGTGAATATTCTCATCATATTTCGGAAGGCTCATTTTTTTTTTTAAAAAAAAAAAAAATTTGAGAACAATTTTTCGTAACATTTTATAATTCTTAGCTTACCAAATACAGAAAGAAACAATAAAAAAGCAGAGTCCCATTGTAGTGATTGAAACCTTTTTTTCACGAGTTGTATAATAATACGTATCTTTATGCTTTACGGGACAATATTTTAGAAGCGGTTTAGTATGTTTAACAAGCATGATTATAAATTTTATCCACATTTAACAAGCAGCAAATTTACAAATAATATAAATAATATGTGGGAGTCTCCAGATCAAATATAAACTACCAAATTATTAATGCATTTGTTATTTGCATCTTATTATAAAAATTAAAATTGACCGTTCTCATTAAATAATCATTCCATGATTGATAAAATTATTAATTTTGTTTAGGGTACCAATGTCAGAGTTCCTTTTGGCATCGAGGTTCCTTTATTAAATAATAGAGCGGACATTTTGTTTTTCGTCTTTAACAAGAATTAAGATAAATCATTTCAAACACAACTTACAGTACATATGATTTGTCAACACCTTGGTATCATATTTGATCCTATCACTCTCGTGATATGACATCATTCATTCTATAATCAAATTTACCCAATAATAATCAAACCCAAATTGGCGTCCACGAATTTATTTTTGGCCAATATATCTACGAATCATAGATAATGATATACATAAACTTGTTCATTGATTATTTAAAATCATCGGAAAGTATGGAATCTAATCCAGTTAGTACAAAACGAAAAGAAAGATTTCAAACTTGAAGAAATTTCTTATATTATTAATAAAGATACACTACCCTATCAAAAGTATCCGGTCAAGCTTTTTTTAAATTTCTCAAGATCGGATATATTAACTAAATAAAATT